CTATAATTATTTACCAATTAATTCAACTTTTTAAGTTACATCAACAAGTTGATCCACATCAACGTCAATCTCAATTCGCCTCCAACTCCAATGAAGATGGGTAGCCTCGAAGGAAAAACACATGTAGACCCCAATAGAAACTACTAACTTCTAATTTATTTGAAATAAATTATAAGTCACTGTTAGTATTAATTTAGAACTCAATTTATTTGATTTATAAAATAATCTTAAAATATATTCTCTTCATTCTTCAAAATAATAGTAGGGAATCAAACATATGAAATACTTGTTTAAATTTTCTTGAGCACCCAAAGAAGAAGAAGCCACATATATCCAAGCCTTAGAATTTAGATGTGGTAATCTCAATTCTCAAGATAGACATTTGTGAGATATAGAAAAATCCACGCAAACAACAAAAAAATGGTGGGGAAAGACCAACACCATTAGCCGGGCGCTTACATGCCAACTACATACACTAGCATCAACAGCCAACGCTAATTATATAATCAACAACGAGTCATATGCACTCATACTAGCACAACTAATCACACATTCTGGCCATAATTAAGGAGTCATCTGCCTCATTCATATATATGCTGAAGAGCGAACCACATGGATGAAAGTTTTTGGTTTCCTACACTTTCAAGACCAAGGGAAGATTGTAAATATTGTCTGTAGCAGTGTAAAGAGAAGCAAGAAACCAGCAGCAAGGAAGAAGATGAATGACCATGGACTGTGGAAGTAATCGTGCCTTAACTTTGCCATGTTTTTGTTCCAAGGTGAACTGTAATGCTTGTTGATATCATTAGATAACTCTTTGTAAAAGAACATTTCTGTAGAGAAGCTTACAGGATATCCAAGCCTGTTAAACAGGGTCGCTACTGCTGCATTTTCCCCCAAAAACTTTCCAATTATTGCATGCTGGCAAAGCAAATCCACATCCTTTTCTGTGTTCATTAGACAATCCATGAGAATGATATAATCAGTCCAGTAAGCTGGAAACTTACAGTCGAATTGCTCGCAAACAATGATATTACGAAGCAAACACTCTGTATTATTCTGAACTGTAAGTGTTGGAATCTCAAATATCCCATTTGTAAACTTTATATCAATCAGGTTGCGTCCGTCTCCCTCGACCTTCTTGAACTCAATTCCCGCCTCTCTGAGTTCTGAAGTGGAAGGTATGTAAGACCATTTGCCTCCTTTAGTTGCAGTATTCTGTTCAGCACCTGTTTGTTGAATTGTAGAACTCCACCTAGTGTGAAGTAAGTCTAGGAGGTGCTTGGCACTTGCAATTGAACCCTCGTTCCAGCTTGCATCCTTGGCCTTGAACCCTGGCAGTATTGAATTATCAAACACGTCAAAGAATGACTTAATGTATAAAAACTTGTCATTTCCACTCGTCAAGCCCAATAACTTCCAAATTTACAGATAAAGGAAGTTGATTCTCAAATAGCATCAAATCAGGCAAAATCCTCGAGAAAATCATATCTACCTCGAATAGTTCATCCTCAACCCACTCTCTACAATGAATTTGGTGAAATAGTTCAACAACAAAACATCCATCAAGGACAATCATTTCTAAAAAGTCATCCGTAGACATGGTTAAGGATTCTGCGTAACAATTACGAGCCTCTTCCACCATATCTCTCATTGCTGCTACACATGTAGCTGTACTTAACTGTCCTATTCGTTGAAGAAGCATTTTAAATAAACGAACCTTGTATACTTCCATTGCCTTAAAGTGATCATTACCATGATGATAAGGACCGATGGAAACGAAATGAGGTTCATAGGCATTTTTATTTATCTCAAGCAATTCTCGAGGCACTTTGAAAATTTTACGCTTCTGTATATGTAATGTTGAAAGCGAATTCAGCTTCGCATCTATACGAACCAGGACTGCATCTTTTTGCTTACCATGATCTTCCATCACCTGAGAACAAGTATAGAAGGATTTTAAGTATACCTCTTACGTGGAGTAGAACACAAACGACTTAACAGTAAGAGAAAAAAACCATACCGGGTAAGGGCAAAGAGGAAGAACACAAATTCAAGGAGAAATGGATAGAAGCATGGTATATTGGTATCTCTGACTGAAATATAGATGAATGGGAATGAGCGAGGTGTGTGTACTTATTTAGTTCCAAAGTCAGTTTTGCTAGCAATTCTGTCTATTCTTCAACACTTTTCTTTGCAGATTCTCGCCAGCACATATATTGTTTGTTCCCGACATGGGTAAATTCGAATTCCGAAGGCAAAGTGACTTCAAGGAAGCTCTCATAGAGGCCCATTTTCCTTGTGCTTTTAAGAAGAATGTAAAAAAACAGGATTCAATTTAACACAAGGTTTTTATTCATCTCAATTTAACATTTAAACTAAGGATAAAAGAGTTTAATAACAAAATGATTAGAGTTTCATATTATAAAAATGATTATTAATGTTAAAAAGTCTATATTTAATATTTAATATTATTTAATTTAATATAATTTAAACTATATAATATTTTTTTAAAAAAATAATTATTCGTGAGGAAGAATAACGAGAATTTGTAACTTCAAAATTTCCCGAAGAAGTTGCTTCCAACCGTCCCAATCGAATACCGAGTCTACGATTTCACAGAATTAGTTTACGGACATGATCAGTCTCTTCCAGCCATCGGAGCCTTACCAGCCCCCCAATGAACGACTTCCTTTACGGCCACGCATCCCCCTCCTCCCTTTGGGGCTGTGATCCTTAGCGGAGGAGCCAATATGGCCAGAGATCCAAAGAAGGGATCCGTGGATCGGTGCTCCACGGGCCCCCGACCGTTCCCTTCCTGGGGTTTTCTTTTAGGAGTATTTTTATGCTTGTTTTTGTTATTTTGTTAATGATTTTTTTTATCCCATATTAGTCAAGCTCTTTTTTCCTTTTTTCCTTAAAGTGATACAGAAGCAAACCATCCTATTTTATTGATTAAAAATTAAATATTTAAAAGATAAATGAAGAAATAATTTTTTTAATAAATTTTAATATATATAATTTATCTTTAATTAAATTAAAAATAAAATACTTCCAAATCGCATATAAACTAATGCAAAAATATCATAATAGTTAATAAAAAAGATTAAAAGAAAAGAAAAAAAAAGTAAAGCAAACCAAGTCCACGTTTAAAAATTAAGTAAAAGCAAGCCAGCTCTTGTGGCCCATCCAATTTGAAGGTTTTTTCCAAGTCAAAGGAGTGATTTAAATATTATTAATGATAAAGCATTAACATCTTTTCTTTCTTTTT